CCCCGTCCCAGTGCGTTACTAGGGAGCTTAAGATACAGACGTTTTCGGGGCGACGGCGACGTGGAGACCGATTAAGATTGGGGCGAGATTGACTGCGCATGCGGCCCCGCCGTCGCCCTCACGTCGACGATGTGAGATCAGTGAGTTTGCCGTCGTGGTGAAAACATGAGTTGATATTGTTTATTTTTTTTTAATATACTGCCAATTTTGTCACTTGTATTAAAGTGATTGCATTATCACATTTCGCACCAGTCATCACACGATGTCTCGGTCAACTCAAGAGACCTTTTGTTTTCTCTTTAGGTTAAAATGACCGAAGCAACAGTGAAGTCCAAATCGTCGAGGTAAGTTTTGGGCACGTACGCGTACAGTAATTGAATTCTTAACATAAAAGGGGATTTTTGCTTGCTGCCATTCCCTTTATCAATTCGTAGATGCACCTCGCAAACGTACACCTCAGATCTATGGAGATTTTTTTAGCTTAGTGCGTAGTCTTGGACTGAAACTTCATATACTTAAATAAAGTTCTTATCGCATCCGACTTTCCTTATGTAGCTAAAGGCTGGCTTCTTCGTTAGTGTAGGAACTCCCGTAAGTTGAGTATCTCTGAAGGCGTCTAATTGTGTTAACTCAGTGGAACTGAGTTCTTGTAACGACTCCAACTGATATTAGAATGAGCTGTTGCTGTTTGTACATCTCTCATATTTCAAATTATAAGATCTTGAAGCCATAGGACATTGATGTTCTGATCATAATGTAGCTCTATGAAAAGTGTCTTTAATTCTTGTTTCCAGATTAATTCTGACTCCAACTTCTTTTTTACAGCCCAATGGAATGGACAAATCAGTTTGACAAATTTATTAGCGTCCTAGTAAAGGACAAGGAGATGGCGGAATTCTTCAAACGTAGCCATCCTACGACAAAAAAGCCTTGATTTATAAAGCTCAACAAATAAACTCGACGAAGTCGCAGAAGTCGCAAAGGCAGGCCGTCATCAGAATCTTAACAACTTAAATTATGGCGCAAAAACGGCAACCTCTGACCCAGTCTACCTGGGTTGTCACGTCGCCGTCGCCCCGAAAACGTCTGTATCTTAAGCTCCCTAATGTCCCTAATAGTGTGGCTCTATGCAAAAATCTTACCAAAATGTTTCCATACGCGGGCTCAAGTACTCAAATGGTTTTCTTCGTATTCATTTCCTGTCCACTGAGTTCAATTCTGATACAACTTCGATGTAAACAAAACATTTCTCTTTGCCACGGTTTAATGAAAAAGTTAACGAATACTCCAGATGGTGTTACGCCTACTTCGTATTGTTATTCTTGGAAAAGTATTAACGTAAAATTTGCAAGAAACTTCCTAAATTTTACCAGTAGAACCGTCATGAGATGTTGCTTACGAAAGCTGATTGATTAAGTTTGCTTTAGCGTCGATGTATGAAAGTTTCTTTGTGAAATCATTGTGTCCTCGATCGTAAATTAGAAATTGTTTAAACTTTGATAATTTTTTTGTTTATTTCATTGTTTAGTGTCAAGGTATTTAGGGTTCCTCGATAAGAAAGAGGTCGAACTATAGCAAGAGAAATG